TGATACGTTAGGTATGCGTTCATGTTGTTCATGCTACGTTAGGTATGCGTTCATGTTGTTCATGATTCGTTAGGTATTCGTTCATGAAGCGTTCATGTTGCAACCAGCCAAGGTTCATGACGGTCAAAAACTCGTAAAGAATTCGTGCGTATTGCGTTAATAACGCCGCTTATACTGGGATCGTTGTGCGTTTATGAACACCTCCAAGGCAAACTTAACGGGTTCGCGAGGAGTCGTGATGGAACGCGTTACGAACGCGTTATGCGTTAGTATCTATGAGGGGCGACTTTTGCACAGTAGTGTAGTCATATTCGTTTCTCTGTCACAGGTGGCCCAGTCGTCTAAGGCGCCGCGATTCGCTGTGCAGAGTTGCGCCCCTTGGGCATGCCAGGAACCTATGATTGTGGGTTCGAATCCCGGTTCGCCACGATTATGTTTCTATATTTGTTTCACCGGTGTGGTCAACGTCTGAGACCTGTATCACTTCGGGCTTTCCTCCCACATTAAGCTGACACGCCGTGATATAAAAGCGGCGTTAAAACCAAACTCACTCACTCACTGTCACAAAACAACAAGAAGCAAATTCCGGAAACTACGCACGAGTCACGATGAATAGAGTGGGTATTGTTTTACGCCGCTTATAGCAATACTCGAGCAAAATCACGGCGGGGACAATAGAAACGGTCTTCATACATTCTACCCATGTGGGGAATCGAGCCAGGGTCTTCGGCGTGGCGAGCGAACACTTTAACCACTAGGCTCCCCCAGCATGGGAGACAGAAGCTGGAGCATGTAAGGTGTTGTGTGACATGGACGTGGGGCTATCTCCGCGAGATGGCTGTGATCAGTGGGTTCTCCCTGCTGTGATCCTCCGCAGAACATCGCTGTGACTATCTGTGACCATGTGTGATTATGTCACCATGGTTCATTCCTACTGAGATAGCACGGGGTTCGCTGTTCAGAGTGATGGCCCTTTGGCATGCCAGAATCCTTTGATAGTGGGTTCGAATTCAATATTCGCCCTGATTATGATCTATGGTTTGTCGGCACCTACCTGTGTCGTGGGTTTCACCAAAGTGGAAAGTTTGGCACCAAAATAAACCTGATACCCCTGATAAACCTGAGTTTCTATTGAAAGCTGTGTTTATCACAACTCACTCACTCACTCACTCACTCATACTCGATGTGCGTCTAAGCAGGACATGACTGTGTACGTGTGACACATGTCTGATCACGTGTAACCTTATGTTTATTTGGTTGCTATTTAACTCCGCACTCAGCAATATTCCAGCAATATATTGGCTGTCTTTAAATGATCGAGTCTGGACCAGACAAGCAAGTAATTGACATCATGAGCATCGATCTATGCAATTGGGATACGATGACATGTATCAACCATTTAGCAGGCATGACCACACGATTCTGTTAGTTGGTATTTCAACGATGTGTGATCAATGTGATCATATGTGACGATGTGTGATCATATGTAATCATATATAATTCAGGGCCCGGCGTGGTGTAAGACGCGTGAATTTACAATGAAGTACGGTTCAGACATATGTGCGTCAACACAAAGATTTTAAGAAAGGCATGGTGATGGATGCAGCACACGGGTGAATGTCTTCCTAGACTCCCCTATTACCTTAAGGACGACTTGTCTTAATGTCCGCTCGGGCACTTCCATCACATGTACTTTAAGCTACAGAGTCTGGGCTAAGTGATGAAGTGGAAGTACGCTGTGTTTGGACGGGATCCCGTTACGGAGAGGACGTTGTCACAGTGACCGAGTTCCGACATGTCGCATGCACTTGAATTTCACGTTTTGACATTTGTGCTTGGCACATGGTCTTGTGACCTTATTTCAAAGATACGCTTTAAATTAAACTTTGATGTTAAATGGTGTTTATCATCGACTGTTTTCTTGGATATACATATATGTTTGGTCATTACCAGCAGAATAGTAAATGAGTTTGGTAAAACGCCCCTTTGAACAATTTCACGGCGTGTCAACTTCGTTTCAAAAGTGACGTCACCATCTCGATCTCGATCTATAACTGAGCACAAAATGTCTCTCGCTGGAGGGTGTAATTTGATTGGACGGCTATTGTCATGCTATTTGAATCGGGGTTAAAACGAAGCTATCATTGATGAATAGGTTAAGTGTATTTGACATAATACCCAGGACAACCGAGGATGACACGATCCATACATAAACACTTATCCTGCTTTTATGACTTTATTCCATGTAACATACCCACACCGAAACAGGGGAACCGTATCGCAAATGATAACGTAATAACGATTCATCCCCGCCTTAAGGTTGACTTGATATATACTGAACAAAACAAGTAAGGGGTCATGAATACTTTTTGGATATTTTTGTAGTGACGATTGAGCACACAACTTAATAAAAAATAGGCAGGGCCCGTAACTTGTTTTGTTCAGTATATATCAAGTCAACCTTAAGGGGTGTGTGTGTGTGTTGGGGGGGGGGGGGGGGGGGAATGGGTGGGTGGGGTGAATAGTTATTACGTTACTATTTATAGCTTCTGAAAACTGAAAAAACTCATCTTATTATTCCATGTTTTATGTCGCCACAATGGCTCAAGTCAATTTGCTAATATTTTACAGACAAAATAATTCTCGCGTGAACCACAGCAAAGGAAACAACAGAGAAATTGACGTCTTTTTCACTTTGATGAAATGAAGCCTGTTCCCACACAGATATACTCAGAAACTACTTACTTAACGACAATCTAGAAATAAATAGCCAAACGATTAATAGTGTACAACAGTCAAACTCGAGTAAGTCTGGAAAGAAACATCTTAAGTGAATACGCCATGAGCATAGAGAGATTTAAGTAATATCAAATCGTGTAACAGGTGGCGACATGATGGTAGGTTAATATTTGTTCAACCTTACAGAACTAACTTTCACTGATACTGTCGCTGCTGCGGTTGATCTACATCGCCGTACATCCATCGTTGTAAGAGAGCATGTTTACTCTCGAGTGTTCACATGCTGTTCGTGAAGACGTTGTGTACACATCCTGCCGTACAGTGATTGTACAGTATGCTGGGGGTCGTCGAGTGACGCACGCAACATATGTTACATTATGTCCTTGTGAATATCCGCACAAAAGCACGACTGTATAAACATTGACTGTTTATCATCACGCATTTGGTAATATTGTGACAGAGTACACATGTTCATGTGTGAATGTGTTCGTTGAAGATTTCACATTCACAAGATGTGCAAGTCGATATCTATTTTTTTTACTTTTAATACATAATGCCAGTTAGAAAGTGGTCAAATGTGACAAATGTGACCAACCATGCGAAAAGGGACCTTATGGGTTAAAAAAAATCAGATTTTGACTTTTAATTATATTTTAAAACTACAACATCTTCGGAACACAAAAATACAATGGCGATCACACATGGCGATCTAACTGAAGTAAGTTGACGTCAAACGTCTTTATGACGTCAAAACATAATTGTATCCTAGCACCCATAAGGTCCCCTTTCTCCTGATTGGTCACAAATGTTATGTTTGGGATAACACTTTCTAAGTAAAAATACAAATTCTAGTATATTTTTGGTTTGAGTCGGAGTGAGGCACCTAATCGCCAGCACACAAAGTCCGCGATCTAACCCACTCAGCCACCGAGGCTTCCACAACATGAAAGTCCGACAACTGGTAGTCTAGATCACGTACTTTGTGTACCCCTCTGACAATTGACACGGCTCCCATGGCCGAAACCTATGAATACACAATACCATCCACGATCTGATATATAGTGGTTATAGGAAATCCCATTTCACCTGCAACAATATATTACGCATGAAGTATTTTATTCTAACTTTATGTCTTTATTTAAACTCTAAATAAAACAGTGCCTTTAAAAAAGAAAAGGTACCCGCATGAGTGTATCGGGGTATTATCGTACGTGACATTGATTTTACAGTGAGTGAGTGATTTAGTTTTTAAACAGCTTTGAACAGTATTCCAGTTATATCACGGCCTGTCGGCTTGTGGGACGAAAGCCCGAAGGTATGCAGTCTTAGACGTTTACTACGAGCATGGCTATACTAATTAACGATCATAATCAGGCGAATATCGGATTCAAACCCACGATAAACAGTTATCAGCATCAATCACCAAGCGTCACTATATTGATATTGTCTTGTCTCAGTGCAGATTGGGTGTATACACATATCTATGCTGCATACAGAAAGTGTACATTCGCCGCCGCTATGTGGCATGGGTTTCCTTCAAAACCGATAGGTAAGTCTTGTTGTTTGTAACGTACAATACAACACCTCACTACACCTGTCATGTCCATCTGCCCATGTGTCAGATACACGTAGTACACACGCAATCTGGAGTGAAATGTTTGTTTGCTTGTTTGTTGTTTAAAGCCGCACTCACCAATATTCCAGCAAAATGAAGGCGGTCTGTCAATAATCGAGTCTGATTGACATCATGAGCATCTAAGGCAATTGGGATACGATGACATGCATCAACCAAGTCAGCGATCCTGAGCACCCGATCCCGCTAGTCGCCTCTTACAAAGCATAGTCGCATTTTACACAAAGCATGGGTTGCTGAAGACCCATTCTACCCCGGATCTTCACGGACCCTGAGTGAAATGTACCATAGCGTTCAGTGTGTAACAATGTGATGTGTAGTAGGTAGTAATAAAACCTATACCATTCACCATGACAACAAATTTGATTAATCCTAAAATGTCTTGGAATGATGAACTGCGCGACACTAAGCGTGTCCCATACCACCATCAGTATCTCAGAGGTGATAGTTTGCTCACCAAGCGAGGGCATTTAGAAGCAATTAATCGTCGCTATATGGCTGAAATAATGCCGATGCGAAGTTCAATTTTAACTCACTAGAAGCAATTAGAGATATACAGGAAAACATCAGGATGCACGTCCTCGTGGCAGAGTAGTGATAAAATATTATCCAATATAAAAACGCTTACCTTTTTATGTATGAATGGCCTCCCAAGTGTCCTTGTGTGGTTTTAAATTTCAAGAAATTTGTTATTGTAGGTAACAGAACGCAGTTTCCAACAAACTGCTTTCAGATTGAAACAATTTTACAAGCTAACGCTCGTAGATGTCAAACAGCTGAGACCCATGTGCACAAGGAAATACATTTCATTGAAACGGCTTCGAAATATATGTCAGTCGTTATAGACACCTACATCATGCGGTAGACCTAAAAGTCTCCACGATCACGTTCTAATGATTAGAACGTGCATGTTGAATAGAAAATTGGACATCTGAAACTAATTTCGAGTTAAAACGTCAGGATGGAGTGGCCCCGCTGAGCTCACGCCGTTATTCACTGACGAGAAATGATCAAGAAAAAACGTCCTATTGTGATGCTGGCCTATGAATATTAATGATGCGCTAGGTATTCATTGTGTGTGAATGTTGTGTACAAATAGATGACCGCCATCCTCATCACTACACATTGTTGAATACCGTCATGTCTAAATCTGTTATTATTTGGCCACTAGCAGCTGAAATTTGAATACAAAATCATTGCTTTGTTGTCTTGATTTAATAAAAGCGACAAAACCATTTCCATATTCATCAGAAATCTTTGCCAAAAGCAGAGTACATTGTACGATTCCGACTATATCATGAGCATGTGCTTATAAATCAAAGAGTGATGATATCAGGTGTTGGCAAAAAGGTGAGCGTATCCTGTACAAAACTGGGGCCACCGTCACAAACACGGAGTCATAACCATCAAGATCGTCACCAGCATAAAAGTTCTTTTCAAATCAGCGTCATCAATAGGATCATTAAGATCGCCAGCCTACATTTTGTTTTAAAATCATCATCATCATCATCATCATCATCATCATCATCATCATCATATGGGGCAGTCGGGTAGCCTAGTGGTTAAAGCGTTCGCTCGTCACGCCGAAGACCCGGGTTTGAATCCCGACATGGATACAGTGTGTGAAGCCCATTTCTGGTGTCCCCCTCCGTGATATCGCTGGAATATTGCTAAAAGCGGCGTAAAACCAAACTCACTCACTCACTCATCATCATCATAATGTTTCCCCACTCACTACGTCATCATCACAATTAGTTCCACGCTCAAGTCTCTGGTGGGAGCGATTCCTGCTAATCCTTGTGATTGAGTTTGTTGATTGTTGTTTTACGCCGCACTCGGCAATATTCCAGCAATATTTTGGCTGTCTTTAAATGATCGGCTCTAGACCAGACAACCCAGTGATCGACATCATGAGTATCGGTCTATGCAATTGGGATACGATGACATTCATCAACCACGTTAGGGAGCATGACCACCCGATCCCGTTAGTTGTAAGCCTGTGTGACCATATGTGATCATGTGTGATCTCTCGCTGATAACAGCCTTGCCCAAGTTTGGCCCAATGCATCAGATATGCCCCATAGTAACTGCGTCTATAGAACCAACATTCCTGCTACTCACAAAAGGGTTTTGCTACTTTACAAATAGTACCAGTGTTGGTGCGAATCCAACCTGGAACTGGATTGGATTGACCAATGTGAGTGAGTGAGTGAGTGAGTGAGTGAGTGAGTGGGTGAGTGAGTGAGTGAGTGAGTGAGTGAGTGAGTGAGTGAGTGAGTGAGTGAGTGAGTGAGTGAGTGAGTGAGGTTCAAACCCGCTTTGAACGGTGTTTCATTTACATCACGAAGAGGTCAAATAGAGTGAGTGAGTGAGTGAGTGAGTGAGTGAGTGAGTGAGGGAGTGAGGGAGAGAGTGAGTGAGGTTCAAACCCGCTTTGAATGGTGTTTCATTTACATCACGAAGAGGTCAAATAGAGTGAGTGAGTGAGTGAGTGAGTGAGTTAGTGAGGTTCACACCCGCTTTGAACGGTGTTTCATTTACATCACGAAGAGGTCAGCTTGACGTAGCCCAAAGTAGACATTTGCCACTGTGGAGGTACGGCTGCCGACAATCCAAGGATTAGTCTCAAAACGAAGCCTTGATTCGAACTTACGCTCAGCGGATAAAGGCGAAACCAACATTTCTGAAGGGTAAACCTAATGACGACAGAAGCTTTCACAGAAGGCTGATCAGGTAGAATAACCTCTCTCTATGTGTTGCTTGGATTCCACAATAAGCTTGGAGAAATGTAAAAAGATTTTAATAGTCTAAGGAATGGCTTTATACGTGATAAACTTCCAGCCGACACCACACTGCGTCTTTCATCTCGATACACTATAAAGGTTAATTTGTGTTCTTGACCACAGAAAAAATGTATCGTGCATATTAACACAAACTGATGAGTCGTGCGTAAGAATCAGAGCTTTAAAATTTATCGTCCATGTATCTGAGATAAAGACGTTATCTAAACTGCCAGGCATATGAACGTATACACTCATGTTTGCTGGTGGTTGTAATGAAACAAACAAGAAATGGTTATTGGATGGCGATGTATTTGAGACGGGTATCACAGTTGTGTTTAGGGTGGCCCAGTCGTCTAATGCACCGCGATTCGCTGTGCGGAGTTGCGTCCCTTGGGCACGCCAGAAACCTATGATTGTGGGTTCGAATCCCGGTTCGACCCGATTATGTTTCCATGTTTGTCAGCACCATACCCGTACTCGTGGGTTTCACCGAAGTAGTAAACGTCTGAGACCTGCATCACTTCGGGCTTTCCTCCTAAATTAAGCTGACACGCCGTGATATAACTGGTTGTGTTTAGGAAGTTTTTCAGTGATCGGCGAATGTTTTTAGCCAAGTAACGTGATAATAACCATTCTGATTGTTTGGTCAAATCTGATTTGAAGTGTATATTTTCATTTTACCCGCAGTTTAGCTTGCTATGGATTTTAATAAGAGTCATGGGAATAAAATGTTGTAAAATATGTACACAAAGAAAAGTATGCGCGATATATTGACAGGTCTCGTCTCAGGTCACGTGTTTATGTGTTGCGTGATACATGCTCGGATATAACGCCAGCGACACGTGGGTCGACTTCAATGTTTCCTTAGTGAATACAATAATGCTCGGCATCGCAAACATATTCAGTACTGACGACTTAGGTCAGGTTTTGGAGTAAACACTTCGTAGAACAGAGACACAGAAGCAGTTTGAACTCTGTGTGGCCGTGTGCTTGTATTGTGTCAGGTTAGTCACATGCTCTACACCAGCCTCGATATGAGTTTTGTGGAAGTCACGTGGAGGACATTTCCAAACTTGACGGATCAGTGACAGAAATGATGTCCGATGCAATTCCCTATTTTGACATGTATCATTTGTTCCCGTGGTTTTTTTTAGGTGAACAGTTGACTTGCCTTTGCATGTGTTTGTGATGCAGCCACCGTTGTGCAGGCTTCACTCACCTTTTAGTGAGCATCTGGCACCATAACTATTTGATAGTGATTCATGAAGATGATAAAGTCGTATCGTATAATTTCTTATGAATATGGAGAGGGTTTTGTCGCTTCAGTTTCAGTACGCAGTGGGAAATGTCCGTCGCTCACGCCACCCGCCGTTTCCTGTGGCAACCCCGACTGGGTTAAAACCATAGAGTCCCGAGTGTTGGGCTGCATGGGCACGTGGCGGACCATGTGACGTGCGTGTCTGTTCTCGTAAGTTTTGTTTGTTTGTTGTTTAACGCCACATTCAGCAATATTCCAGCTATATGACGGCGGTCTGTAAATAATATCGAGTCCGGACCAGACAATCCAGTGATTGACATCATGAGCTTCGATCCACGGAATTGGGATGCATCAACCAAGTCAGTGACCCTGACCAGCTGATCCCGTTAGTCGCCTCTTACGACAAGCATAGTCACCTTTTTTCGGCAAGCATGGGTTGCTGAAGACCTATGTTGTTGACGTACGTGACAGCGCAGGTACGCGTGGCGTAGAAACAAAGCTCCCCGCACTTCTCAAGCTAACCTACACTAATCAGTTCTTGTCTTCCAAAATGTAAGACATTATTCGAAAATGGTCACGTGTTACCTATAAAAACCAAGACATCAAAATGAAACCAAAGTTTTTTATGTTTCAACCTTATTTCACATTATCACACAGGTTTCCGGGTTACAAATCATAGCGCTGGTGGATTTTTTCTTTCTCAGAAAACATTGTGCACACGTAACATGAAATAACGCAAACTCTCACTACATCACGCGAGATTCTCCTCCCCCAACGCGAACTGCTGTATCGATACTGATTAGTTCGCCACGGGCGTATTCCTATGTATGGTATAGACTGAGGAACAGCAATCACAGAACTGACTGGAACTAAGAGTTTATGTCGAAAATAACCCATCCCACACCCTACCGCACCCTAAAACACATGACAGTGACAAAGGCCTTTCCATAATCTTAAGAAGTACCTGCTAAAGGCAGAATCCGTTGTACGACGAATCCAACTATATTATAAGCGCGATGGTGTTGATCAATCACTAAACACACAATTTCCAAAAAATATATTTATGATCCTTGTTTCTGTTCAGCATACATACACTCCCTATACTTCAGTTCAATTCATAAGTTATTGCTGTGCACGATTGATTATTACAGAAGTCCAATCCTATCATTAACCTTGGTCGGTTGACATAGAACCCTTTTCTTTGAGCGAATGAGTACTACGATAAATCTCGGCATTGCGTGCTGTACCTTCTATTGCAATAGCGTCACTGGTTACGCTGTGCACAGGAGAGAAACGTATGGCGCGTTTAATCATATTGACAAAACATTATTTCAGATATTTTAGACCCATAATGAAACTCTAAAAAAACTGAATGAAGCTTAACCAAAGACAGCAAGTTTTAGAGGATATGTTGGGTGATTTATCTGCTGATGGAGTGTTATAAAGACGTCTCCCACCATGCAGCACTGAGGACGAATGGTGTATTTTTAAGTAAAGGAAAGCTCTATAAAGCTTTTAAAATGTTTATTATTTCACATTTGACGCATCAGATTATATCAGATGCTATTACCTATTTGGATATATACCGGGTGAATAATTGTCTTGCCTTTGCATCTTTGCATGTGTTTGTGACGGGTGCCACTTTTGGGGCAGGATACGCTTACTTTTAACGAAGACCTAGTTGCATCACTATGTAATAGTGAGTGAGTGAGTATGGTTTAACGCCGCTTATCACGGCGGGGGACACCAGAAACTGGCTTCA